TTTATTCCCGTTTTTTACGTTTTGTTGTTTTTTGTGGGGTTTTTTTCTTCATCTTTGCGTTTCGTTTTTTTTTTGTTTGTTTTTCAATTTTTGGGAGTTTGTATTTTCCCGGCCGGGCCCGCTTGTTTTTTTTTTTTTCCACCATCCCGCGCTGTTGTTCTCTCCCCCCCCGCACCTCCGGAGTGCAAAGAGGGGGCCGCCCTCCTTCTCCCCGGGACATCCGTGTTTCCTTCTCGCCGAGCCCCCCCGGGCCCTGCCCGGTGCGGAGCCGCGATCCCCGGCCGGGGGTCTCCCCCCGAGCCCCCCGGTTCTGGGGGGGTTTCAGAGCCCCGGGGTCGGTACCCCCCAGCCCAGTCCGGCCTCCAGAGCCCCTCCCCTAGCTCCCGGTTCCCCCCGCCGGGCTCCGGGGCCAGTTCGAAGCTGTCGGCCCGGGACCCCCCCGCTTATCCACCCCTCGCTCTGGGGGCTCCATCGCGGCCCCGGGGGTCGCCCCGTGACCCCCGTTCCTGTCGCGGTCCCCCAGCCGGGCTCAGAGCCCAGGACCCCCGGCCTGGTTCCCCCCCCCGCCCAGGGCTGAGCTGGCTCCGGAGCCGCGTTCCCGCCTGAGGGACAAGCGCGTTCTGGAGCCACGTCCCAGCCCCAGCAACCGGGTCCCCCCCGTGCTGGTCCCAGTTCGGGACGGGGGTCCCGGATGGGGGTTGGATCTGGCGAGGGGGAGCTCGGGGAAGTTTTCCTGCGGAGGAGCCTCGCCGGGAGCCCGGACCGGGGCCGATCGGCCCCTTTTGTCCCCGGGACCGGCCGGGGCTCGTGGGACGGGCGGAGACGGGACCGGGTGGGCTCGGAGCGGGAGAATTGGGGCTGGCTCTGCTTCCCAAGCCGGGCCGGCGGCACCAGTTTGGATGTGGTGGGATGTCGGGCTGACCTCATGGAGGCCGCGACTCCAGGCCGCGGCAAAACTCTCTGGTTTGCCAGCGAGGCAGCGCTGCCCCGGCCCGCGAGCGAACCCCCGGCCGTGGTTAAACTTTGATGGGGCAAAAGCGAGGGCTGAAATGGGAGTTTATTTACCGGATTCCCATTAAACGCCTGGCTGGGGCCGGTCGGGCTGTTTTGCAACCGCTGCCGACTCAGGTGGTTTGAAACCTGATCGTGCGCTCATGTGGCCTTATCTGGGTCCGAGGGAATCGCCTCGGAACCTGCTCCGGGAGGCCCCACGCGGGTGCAGGGCTCAGGGAAGTGGATGTGGTTTATTTTCTCCCCAATCCTGGGTTCTCAGAGGGTCAGACCTCCGGGAATGGGGCACTTGCTCCTGTTGGGCAGCTGCAGGAAGGCTCGGGGGTTGGGGAAGGAATGGGGCTCGCAGGGACAGGCAGGTTCCCCGAAGCTGTAGGGCCCACTCAGGGGCCCTTTTAAGGTCCCCAGTGCCCCCTGGTTGTCCGGGGACCGTTTGTGTCCCCAGTCCCACCTGAGGGTCACCCTGAAGTTCTCAGTCCCTCCTCGGGGTCCCTTGTCCCTACAGGAAGACCCTGTAAGAGGCAGGGGCTGAGCAGGACCCTTATGGCCCCAGGAGTTGCTGGATCCTGGTGGGATGAGGCCAGTTCAGCCCTGGAAACGGGCAGGAGGAGCAGCCAAACCACCACGGATCAGCTCTTTGGGGAGGTGCACGGCCCAGAACTTCCAGGGGGAGATTTGAGGGGAGAAGAAGCGCGGGGAGGTTGGAACGCTGCTGGAATGGGCTGAGGAGGGTTGGAAGAGCCTCTCAACCCCAGCCCCTCACCCGGCCCCTCTCGCCCCCAGCGCCGCTCGCCCGAGGCCCAAGCGCTGCCGCAGCCTGAGCCGACCCCACCATGGACACCGGAGTCATCGAAGGGGGTCTCAATGTCACACTCACCATCCGGCTACTCATGCACGGAAAGGTTCGTGTCCCATCCGTCCCCAACCCTCACCTGGCACGGGGTTGGCTGGGCACTTCCATGGCAGGGCGGGGGGATCTCCTGGAGCTGCAGCAGAGCCGGGAATGTGCTCCTGGCGCCCGGCTGGCTCCTGGGGTATAGCAGCAGCGCCGTAAAAGCACAGGCAGGGAGGAAAATAATAATTGGGGGGCAGGGGGAACGACCTGGAGGGAGCTCAGGTGGGAGCAGAGTGTCAGTGCACATCCCCAGGTGTCTGGAGGGGACAGATCCTAAGTGCTCAGGAACTTGTTTGGGCTGTAAGAGGAGCAAGTTTAGGCTGTAAAAGGAGTGAGTTTAGGCTGTAAAAGGAACAAGTTTAGGCTTTGGGACTCCTGGAGTTTTTAAAACGCTGACTAATGGTGCTTTTGTTTCCATCCCAGGAGGTGGGAAGCATCATTGGGAAGGTAAGTGAGGAACCACCGCTCTCATCCCGCCTTCCCCTTCTCTCCTCGTCCCCTCCCCTCCCCCACAGCCACGCTAACGCCTTTTTCCTTTCTCTCCTTCCTCACAGAAAGGGGAGTCCGTGAAGAAGATGCGTGAGGAGGTGAGTTGCGGGGCCGGGGAGGGGCTGCGGGGGGATCCGGGGGCCGCGGCGGCGGCGGCGCGGGGCCTTCCGAGGGCTCCGCAGGCAGCGCGGAGGCAGCGGCCGGAGCGGCGGCGCGGGGAATGCCGGGAGGTGTGGGCAGGCGCGGCAGGAAGCCGAGGAGGAGAAGATGGCTGCCCGAGCCGAGGGAGGGAGGAGGGAGGGAGGCAGGGAGGAGGGCTCGTCCCCAGCGGGGGATCCTGGGGAACTCCGGCTGCCCCGCGGTTGCCCTGGGGGGGTCGAGGGGGGCCCGGAGCGCTGAGGTGGCGTTTGCCTCCCGCAGAGCGGAGCTCGCATCAACATCTCGGAAGGGAACTGCCCCGAGCGGATCATCACCCTCGCGGGACCCACCAACGCCATCTTCAAAGCTTTTGCGATGATCATTGACAAACTGGAAGAGGTGTGTCTGCAGCACAAGCCCCCTCCTCACCGCAGTCGCTGCCCCCGTTTGCCCCTTTTCCTGGGTAAATTGACCCCTGTGTGCCAGGGGGTCCACACCTGAGAGGGCTTTGTCCCTGCTGGGTTTGTCCTGCTGAGGCTGAGCAGCAGGATGGGCCATTTCCGCATGGATGGCCAGTGTTTCCCTGTGGGGCCCCTGATCTTTGCCCGTCTGGGAGCTGGGTCAAGGTCCAGGCAGTGCCAGAGCCAGAGCCCTGCAGGGCCTTTCCTGGGCACTGGTTAAACAACTTTAGGCAGAGCTGGGCCTGGAATCCCCCTGGCTCTGCTCGTCCTGGTGCCACTTCCCCTCTTTCATGCCCCAGTGGGGACCAAAGCTCGTCTCCATCCCTGACCCTGCCGAGGAGGGGGCTGGGGGTGTAGCTGTGCAGCACTGGAGGAGGAGCTACACCATGCCCCTGGTCCCACTGAATCTGCAACTTCCAGGGGGAATGTTGATCCTGGATAACCTGGATCCTGTCTGTGGGCATTAGAGCCTGCTCAGGGCTGTGATGTTGAGGAGGTTTCCATCCTGCTCTGCGTTGGAGGCACTGGGAGATGGGAGCGCTCCTTGCCTGGTGTGGGGCAGAGCTCTGTGGCCCTCGCCTCACCCATGGGGGTACAAATCCTGTTGCCCTTTGGATTTGGGACACTTCCCTGGGAGGAACAGTCCCGTGCTGGCAGCTCTGTCCCCAAACCCCCCTGCTCTCGCCTAAAAGGCTGCAGAGCCCAGAGCTGTTTGTGCCACACGCCGAGAGCCGGAGTCCTCTGAGGGCTCCACGGCTGAGTGTGGCCCTGGGCACGGCCTTGGAGCTGAAGCTTTGCTTTTAGTAGGTCAGTTGAGCCCTGGCCTTGTGCCTCCCCTCCCCCTGCCAGCACATGACCGCTGTAATCGGCGCCGGGATTGTTTTCCCGGAGCTCCTGCCTTGATCCCTGGTGCAGCGGGAGGCTCTGTGCTGACCTGGGAGCTGTGGAGTCTGAGCCCCCAACCCTTGTCCCCCCCCCAGCAGTGACACAGCCAGTTCTGACTTGGCTGAGGTGTGACCCATCCAGGGCTGGGGGTGGTTAAACCCCCATTTCCACTGAGACAGCAGAGTGTGGCTGCTGCTTCCCCAAAACACGGCCATTAAGGAATCCCTGGGAAATGGGACTGGGAGAGCCCCGAGGTCACCTTGGCCGGGGCTCCTGGTGCCAGCGTCATCTCCCTGTCCCTGTGCTGGGCACGTCCCCGCCGCGTGCCGGTGCCGTCCCGGCGGGGATGCTGTGCCAGGCCGGGCCAACCCCTCTGAGCCCCTCCTCTTCCTCACAGGACATCAGCAGCTCCATGACCAACAGCACAGCTGCCAGCCGGCCCCCGGTCACCCTCCGACTTGTGGTCCCTGCCAGCCAGTGCGGGTCCCTCATTGGGAAGGGAGGCTGCAAGATCAAGGAGATCCGAGAGGTGCGTGGTGGCCACCCCGGGGGAGAGGTCCATGGGGCTCTGGCTGCCCCCCCATGGTACCATGTGACAGGGATGTTGCATTGCTGGGATGTTTTGGAGCTCCCTGTATTTTTAGTGCTCAGGAAACTGAGACTCGAGGCAGACCCTTCCCTGCCCAGTGCTGTCCCCCACAGCTGGACGCCTGGGTTCTTGCTTCCCCCCTCCTTCCTGTGGCTCCTGACTGCCCCCTCCCCAGCCTTCTCCCAGTTTTTGGAGGGGGAGATGTGGTGCCAGGCCCACGCTGCCCTCGGTCATGCCATTTAGCACTGGGTGCTGCTGGATTAACTCTGCCCAGCTCTGCTGGCGCAGAGATGGGCTTGGCTTGGGTTACAGGGACAGGCTGAGCCCAGGTCCCCCTCTACTGCCTCGGGCTCCCAATGCCTGACTTGTATCCAGCTGGGATTAAAGGACTTTATTTTGGGGGGGAAAAGGAGGAGGGGGGAACAGTTTTGGCTATGTTTAACCATCCACGGGGTTCATCGCTGAGGTCACAGCCCTCCCTGGGGTCTGACCGGTTATTTTTAACCCTCGACTTGGCAGAGCACGGGGGCACAGGTCCAGGTGGCAGGGGACATGCTGCCCAACTCGACCGAGCGAGCCATCACCATTGCTGGGATCCCACAGTCCATCATCGAGTGCGTCAAACAGATCTGCGTCGTCATGCTTGAGGTACGGCCCCTCCTCAGGCCTGTGCGGGGGATCCCGCTGCCCTTGGCAGCCATGTCTCCTCCCGGGGTGGAAACGCTGAGGGTGGAGAAAATGACTGCTGGGGGATAAAGGGATAGCTGGGGATTACAGCCTCATCCAGGTGAGGCTTGGAGCCGCTTAAAACCGGGGTCGAGCGGGGCCTCGAGAGCTGCTCACGGTGACCGGTCGTGCTGCCCAGCACGGTGACACTGAGCTGTCCCACTGCTCTGCTCCTGGGCCCTGTGCCCGGGATGGGGAAGAAATATCATTGCTGTGGGTCCCCCAGACAGCCAGTTGGGAAGCTGAAGCAAAGCCCTGGGGTGCGGGGAGGGGGCTGTTGGTGCCAGCGGCGCTCGGTGTCTGACCTGCCCTCTCTGCCTGTCACCCAGTCTCCCCCGAAGGGTGTCACCATCCCGTACCGACCCAAGCCATCCAGCTCTCCCGTCATCTTTGCAGGCGGCCAGGTAAGGCCTCTCCTCTGCTCCTGGGGTGCGGGGTGGGGAGGGGGGCAGGGGGTGTCGTACCGAGCTGCCAGCGCGCCCCGGCCGCTCCGCGTGCCCGTCACCCACGCCGTGCCTCCGGCCCAGAGCGGCTCTGCTGGGCCTCAGCCTCCCAGAGCCAGCTCCAACCATCCCTGCCGAGGGATGAGAGTGGGGAAAAGGGACGATTTGGGAGGAGGGGATGCTGGAAAACACTCCTGGAGTTAACCAGCCAAAAAAAAACATTGCCAGTGTGGTGGCAGCAGTGGGGATTTGAATGGGGCCGAGGCTCCAGCTGCCAAACCCAGGCTCTGCCCCTCTGCCTCGGGTTGGCTCCAGGGACGTTGGTGTGACCTGCTGTGGGTGACCGGCCCGGAGGTTGGGGCTTCTCTGCTCTCCGTGATTGGCTTTTGGGGTGCAAAGGCTCAGCCTGTGCCGTGGGTAGGGTTGGGGTGTGCAAAGGCTTCGTCTCGCACGAGGGGAGGGTGTGTCAGATAGGAGTAGTGTCAGGTGACTGGGGTTTAGTCCCTCCTGCGCTGAGCTGAGCTGAGCTGGGGAGTCGCTCACCTGCCATGAGCCAGGTTACAGGGGACAGGGCTCCCTTGGGATCCTGTCTGCTGTAAAGCCCCGAATCCCCCTGCCCTCTTTGGGGTGGGGGGTGCTGGCTGGGAGGCCGGGCCCAGGAGCGGGTCACCTGCTCCCACCCTGCGGTTCCCAGGGCTGCCGTAAAGCTCGGAGAAACCACGGCGACTCGTGCAAACGCATCCGCTGCCTTCCTGCTGCCAGGGAGACCCCCTCGGGGTGGGCTCCGGCCCGGGACCCGCGCAGGCAGGGCCTGGCCTTGTCGGTGGAGGCCTCCGTAGGCAGGGAAAGGGGTCAGGGAAAAGGGGTAGCTGCTGCCGGCCTCCCTGAGAGCCAGGCCTGACTCTGCTCTCCCCTCCCCACGCCAGGCCATGCTTGTTTTGGGGACGGACCTGCCGCCGTCCCCTTCCTCCCCACCCCTGCCCTCCCTGCCTCTTCCTCCCCCCCTTGAACCCGGTCAGCCCCCCCCGCCTCTCCGACAGCTTCTCCCGCCGCTCTGCCCCCCCGGGGGAAGCGCCCTCCCCCTTGCCAGCGGAGGGCCGTACGCGCGGACCCCCGGGGCGGGAGCCGGCCGCCTTCCCCGTTAGAGCAGTGAGGAGCAGGCTTCCCACGGCCACGCATCTCTTCCCTCCCCTTCCCCTTTTTCTCCCCCTTCCTTCTTTCCGCCCCCATCCCTGGCCCAGGGCCGCGGCCAAGCCCCGCAGCAGCCGCCCGGGCCCCCCCGCTCCCGGCGGCCGTTGGGCTCTGTCTTTGCAGCTCAGAGTCGTGCGTAGAGCAGGGCGAGCCCTCGATCAGCACTGAGCTAATGTGGATGTGAGTTTGGTGTTAGCGAAAGGTTTCGGATTGACAGCCCTGGAGACTGAAGTCCTCTAATTTATCCACAGGACAGGTACAGCAGCGGCAGTGCGAGCTACCCCCACACCGCCCCATCCATGTGCCTCAACTCTGACTTGGAGGGACCACCTCAGGAGGTGAGAGGGGAGTTCAGTCTCCACGGCCCGTTCAATCCTTGGCCTCTCTGAGACTGCCAACAAGGGTGGCATCCCCGTCCCCGTCCCCCAAAACCGACAACGGTGGCTTTTTGTGCTGTGGACTCCTGTCCACTGGGAACTGGACTCTGAGCCCACCAACCTCTCCTCACGCAGGCCACCCGGCAGCCACTGCATGGCAACGAACTTGGGCCAATTCCAGCCTGGGCTGCAGTTCTTCCGGTGACCTGGAAGTGAGGCTGTGTACCCCCCTCTCCCCTTCCTCTCCCACCCACCCCCACCTGCCCGGCCCCCCCAGACCTCCCCAAACCTTAGCCAGCCAGGCCCCAGCCAGTGACTCGCCCTTTCTGGGTAGCTTCAGGAGGCATCTGAAGTCTGTGGCTGTCCCTTAACCTCGAGTTAACTCGGAGTTGTGGCAGGTCAGGCCCTCGCCTCGTTCCCCTCTGAGCGCTGGGCCGTGTCGAGCAGCGGTAGCCAGCGCCAGCACTGACCTGTAGCTTGCCCGGCGACGTTGTCCTAGGCGTGCGGAGTGACGAGAGGACTCGGAACGGGGCAACTTTTTTTTTGGGGTGGGGGGAGGCGGGGGAGCTGCTGGGCCGGGGCAGAGAGGGGCCGGGAGCAGCAGCAGGGCCGGCGGGGCGTTGGATCCTCCCTGCCTGTGCAGGGGCGCAGGGATAGCAGCATTGTCGGACTCACCACACCATAACATCTTCATCAAGATCCCAGCCGTTCTCTTGTTGGTTTTTATTTTTGGTTTTTTCGTTTTTCTTTTTTTTTTTTTTTTCTTTTTTTTTTTTTTTCTCCTTTTTTTGGTTGTTTTTTTGGGGGGGGACGGCACCGATTCTGCCCACCCCCCTCCCCGTACCCGCCACATCAGGCCAATTCGAGTAACCGCCAGCCTAGAAACTGCTTGTGACAGCATTTATCCGTCCCCTGCCTCTCCTGCCCCACTTCCCTCGCCCCGGAGAACTCTCCACCTTGGCTCTCTGACTTCCTGGCTAGTTGAAATCTGTCTGTCCCTGGGTGGCTGTCCGATGGTTGTTAATAGGACTGTTTTCCTCCTTTTGTAGGCCTATACCATTCAAGGACAGTATGCCATTCCACAGCCAGATGTAAGTTTTTATTTACAACTTCTTGTCTTGAAATCCACCCTTTTCCTCCCCCCCTTCCAAAATTTTCTCCGTGCTTTCTCCACTCGAGCTGCTCAGCTTGGGCTGAATGCTCGATCTGATCCGAGCCCCCCCCCAAAAAAAACTTGCCCCCTTCAGTTGGCCTTCCTGCAGCCAGCTTCACCCGGCCTCAGAGCTCTCCCTGGATCCTCCCCCCACCTCCTCTCTGACACTTCCCTGCTCCTGTTATATTTTTTTTCCAAACCCACCTCTCCCTGGCTTGGCATTTCACACCAGCTCCGGCTTTTCCCTTGCCCCCACCCCCTTGCTCCTCCTCCCTGAATTCGGCACGAGAACACCCCCCCCCAGCACACGGTGGCTCTGTCACGGTGGCTCTCCCGGGGCAGGGGACAGCTGGCCCAACGAGTGGGCGCAGGTGGCAGTCGGGGAGGGGGTTGGATCCGGCCCATCCCAGGCTGCTGCCAGCCTGGCGGGTCCGTTCGGGAGAGGAGGGACCATCCCGGCAGCGGCCGCCTCTCCCGGTGCTGTCGGACACCTCCATCCTCTGGCACCCATCCTCATCCCGTAGGGGCTGGTCTCTGCTCCTGGCACCTTAGAGCAGCGAGGGGGGGTCTGACGCGCCAGGCCAGGGGGGAGAGGGGCTAGAAGGAAGCTGGGCTGGAAGAGCTACTCCGTTGGCGGAGCCGAGCCGCGCTCTGTCCCCGTTCCCTGCCGCTCCCCCGCAGTGCTGCGAGCACCTGCTCCCTCCCGCTCCTCTCTGCTTCTCTTCCTGAGCTCCTCCAGACCTCACTGCACCGAGGGGTGGGCGCAGCCCCCAGCCCACCTTGGCCTCCGTGCGGAGAGGGCCGGGCCGCGTGCGGAGGGGCCGGGGCGGCGGGGCCGGTGTCCGCGCGGGCGCGCGTGCGGGGTGAGTCCTGGCCCCCCCTGGCCTCGGGAAATGGCTAACGCCAGCCTTTTCTCTTTTCTCTCTCTTTTCCCTCCTCTAGCTGACCAAGCTGCACCAGTTGGCAATGCAACAGTCACACTTTCCAATGTCTCATGGCAACACTGGATTCAGTGGTATGGAAACTCCTTCTCTCCGTGTGCGCTAGCGCGGGCCGGAGCCCAGCCCGGGCTGCCCCCGGCTCCTCCGTGGGGCCGCGCTCGCGCCCAAAAACCTAAACCCAAACGTTCCCCCGAGCTGGGCCCGGCCAGGTAACGATTGTTGTGATGTCTCTGGGGGCTGCAGGGGTAGGGACGAGCCGAGCCCGGCGCAGGCAGGGCCTCCATCCGTGCTGCTTCCCTCCCTCATCCCCCCCGTACTCTGCCAACGCACTGGGAGACCCCCGGCCCGCAGCACCCGCTCTCTCCCCTCCGGCTACTCCAGGCCTGAGCAGGCAACTGCTGAGTTGTACCAAATTTGCTTTAGATTTGCTAAGATGGCTAAAAAAAAAAAGAAAGTGGAAAAAAAAAAAACAACCCGTTTGGGGCTCTAAACTTGAGACAGCCAAACTCATTGTGACTTGTATCTTAACAGGCATTGACTCCAGCTCTCCAGAGGTGAAAGGCTATTGGGGTAATGATCCAAACACACAATCTGTAGTTACTCTGTTGTGTATTGATGCTGCCTGGGGTCTCGTTCTCCCTGATAGATGCTGCCCGCCTTTGTGCCCAGAATGGGGGGGAAAGGGTTGAGGGGAGCCCTAGAAGGGCTGGAGTTGCAGCCTGACTCAGCTGTCCATGCCCTGGAGCTCAGCTGGATAGTGGAGAGCAGCAGGATTGGGCAGAAGCTCAGCTGTCCCAGCGAGCTGTGGGCCCTGAGCTTTTCCTTCCCCCCAAAAAAAACACACTGAGAGGAGCAGCCCCCAGCCGAGGCGGTGCTGGAGCTGTCAGGAGCCGGAGGTGTGGGGGGACAGCACCGTGTCACCTGCTGTGTCCCCAGAGCACTGCCTGCCCCTCACCCAGAGCCTCAGGGTGAGGTCTCGAGGCTCCCACCGCTCCCTCTAGCAGGGAGTGAGCTGGGAATGGGGGGAAAGTGTGAAAACATGGAAAAAATGCACGTGGCACACACGCTCAGCCCCATGTGAGGCATGAGTGGCCTTGCAGCGCCGGCCGGCGTAGCACTGCCCTGCTGGGCTGCAGCGAGGAGGAGGAGGAGGAAGGAGGGGTGATGTAGCCCTTGGAGGTTGGTACTGGAGTGGGAGCAGAGCTGAGTGCCCGGCTGGAGCCCCCCAGTGCCAGGGGGGATGGCTGGAGCCCCCCAGTGCCCTGCTCCCGGATGGAGGACCCTGCGGTGACACACGGGGAGGGGACAAGGAGAGGAGAAATCGGGGGGATGAGCAAGGAGCAGGGGGGAAGCAGGGACCAGGGTGGGGAGCAGCGGGGGGTTGGAGTGACCTCCCAGCCTCCTCTGCCCTCCCCAGCCTGCTCGGAGGCCTCCCAGGCAGCCTGAAGCTGGCAGCACTTGGGGTGCTGCACCCCCAGTGTGTCACCCCCCTCACCTGCCCCCCCTCTCTCTGTCTCTGAGCAGGTTTGGATGCCTCTGCTCAAACCACCTCCCATGAACTCACCATTCCAAACGATGTGAGTATCCCAGGGGCGTCGGGGGGTGGAGGCATTGTGGGCAGGCAGCTGCCCCTCAGCCCTGGGGGTCCCCAGGATCTGCCCCTCTTAACAAAAGGGGTGTGGGGTGCCCGTTCCCAGCTTTAAAGCTGCAGCAGGCTCATGGCTGTGCCACCTTGGGCCACTCTGGCTGTCACCACATCCCTTATCTGCTTTCCAGTGAGCTTGAAGGCAGAAAACCCCTTTTTCAGCCCCTTAAACTCCCTCTTCCAACTCCTCAGCCTCGCCCTCCTCCCCCCCTCCCCAAGTAATCATCCAATCACGAGATTGTTAAGGTTGGAAAAGGCCTCTCAGGCCACCAAGTCCAACTGTTCCCCCAGCACCATCAAGGCCACCACTGAACTGTGTCCCCAAGGGCCACATCCACGTGATTTGGGACACCTCCAGGGACAGTGACCCCCCATCTACCCTGAGCAGCCTGAGGCAGGGGCTGCACAATTCCCACGAAGGAATTTTCCCCGATACCCAACCCTAGGAGAGGTGCCAGGCGGGGGGGTGAGGAGAATGAGGGTTAATTAATTAATTAACTAACACCGCTGCTGCCTCCCCCAGCTGATTGGCTGCATCATCGGGCGTCAGGGCGCCAAGATCAACGAGATCCGCCAGATGTCCGGGGCGCAGATCAAGATTGCCAACCCCGTGGAAGGATCTACTGACCGGCAGGTGACCATAACTGGATCTGCAGCGAGCATCAGCCTGGCCCAGTATCTAATTAATGTCAGGTGAGTCCCCACTGACGAGTTTCTGGGGGTTCCCAGCCTCCCCTCCCTGTGCCCCGCATGAAGGGAAGGGGTTTTCTCCCCCCCACCCACCCCGTGTTTTCCCCTGTTTCCTTTCCCCCTTCCCTGTGCCTGCTGCCCCAGTTTCCCCACTGCGATCGCCTCCGGGGCTGTGAGACACTGCAGGGTGATGGATTTGGCTGGAAAAGCTCTGGCCATGGGGCTGGGGGGAGTCTGTGGCTGCAGAAGGAGCCTCTTGGTGGTCTCTGCTGTTCCACCACGGTGCTGAGGGGTGACAGGAGGGGCTCCCTGGCCCTGCTCCTGGGGATCCCGAGCATCCCATCGGGATGCTGTCATCCCAGAGAGTGGCTGGTGCTGCTGGCAGCGCCTGGCTCCGCTCTGGTGCCGTGGGTAGCAGTGGCAGGGCCCAGTCTCAGGCCACCCATGTCCCTGTGTCCCATGTTCCCTTCCCTGAGTTGCACCCTCCCTTCCCTGACTCCACATGGCCCAGAGGGGCTGGGGGTCCCTGGGGCTGTGTCCCTCCTCTGGGGGTCCCTGGGGCCGTGTCCCTGCTCCGTGTCACTGACGGCAGAGCAGGAGCTGCCAGTGATTGTCTCTGGTTTTTGGCTCATTCCCTTCGCGGTGCCCAGGGTGTGACTCATGGCTGAGCCAGGCTCATTCCCGGGGGTGGGCGTGGGGGGTCCCATGTGTGGCTCAGCCAGGCCTGGCAGTGCCACTCCCCTCCCCTCCCCTCCCTCCTTCCCTCCCTGCCCTCCCTCCCCCTCCTCCAGCTCGGCTCCTGCGCCGTTTTTGCTGTTTGTCCTGTGCCTTTTTTTTTTTTTTAAATTTTGTTTCGCATTTTGTGCCGTTCCTTCCCTCCCACCCACCCGTGTTTTGTTTTGTTTCTTTTTTATTTTTTTTTGTTTGTTTTTTTGTTCCTTTTCTCCTCTGTTACAGTTTAGAAAGCGCTAAACCCTCCTCCCAGGCAGCCTCCGTCACGATCCCTGACCACCTCAGCATCAACCTCTCTCAACCCTCCACCCCTTCTTCTTCTTCCTCCTCTACCACCACCCCCTCGCTCGCCACCGCGGGGGCCTCCGACGCACCCTCCAGCCTCCCCAACCCTCTTCCGACCGCCCCTTGTGTCTCCAGTCTGCTTGGCATGAAACCTGTCCCTCTCCTGGCGCTAAATGTCGTGTCTGCGGCCAAAGGGGCCGCGGCGCCCGCCGTGCCCTGTGTCACTAACAAACTGAAAGCGGAGAAGCAGAGGTTTTCCCCTTACTGAGGCTGCTCGGGGGACCCACACAGGGGTGGCAGCACCGGGACCCTGTAGAGGAGACTTGGAACAGCAATTTTCTCTATTATCCTCTTTATTTTTTTTTATTTTTATTTTTTTTTATCTTTTTTTTCTCTTTTTTATTTTTTCTCTTTTTTATTTTTTCTTCTTTATTTTTTCTCTTTTTTTTCTTTTTTTTTTTTTTTTTTTTTT